CTTTAAGCAATTGCACTACCATGTAACCTTGTCAGTTCCTTTTAATTTTGGCTACAGCACATCCATTGCAAATGCCAGAATAATGAATCTTATGAATACTTTAGTAGCCCCCATTGTAGCCCTTGAGCAAGAGGAGACCAAGCCACTGATTTAAAGGCGTACAGTAGGTTAGGTCTTGTGAGTGTTGTATGAGCAGCTGGGGCGGCCCCTCCCTATAGCCTCCACCAGTGTGATACTGTCATAGCGAAACACAAGGTCAACTTATCTGTTTACTATGATGTCTCTTAACCTGCAATTCCATTTAAAGCTGTTTAAACAATAGATATTTAGCACAAAAAAAAAGAATAGCACCGTCTGTATCCAGGAGATCAAATTCTGTATTTCTGACTATTGCAAGCACGATTGCAGGATGGTTTCATTCAAAGTTGGCAAATTAGTGAAGGAAAAGACATGTGGCTCAATTAGACTAGTAAATCATCCATCATAAACAAAAGACACAAGGAGAAACATGCAAACTCCACAAAGAAAAGGTAAGGCAGCTCGGGAGTCAAACCAGGAATTTTCTTTCTGTGAGGTGAGAGGGCTAGTCACTCAGCCACCATGCCACCAAATGTCTGAATAATACATATCATTTCTTTGGGTTGCACAATAGAGCCAAAAGATTAATCACAATCCAATCGAAACACTTTGAATGGACGCAATTAGCAAATCGCCAAGGCTGCAATTTTTACAATTTCCTTCACAAACAACAATTTCCTGTCTTGTTCTGCATAAAAACTGCTAACCCTGTAGTTTAGATCTGTACAAACAAGTCTTCAGTGTGATTGTTGTATTAGTTTGTCAGTTCATATTTGAGTCTTTTTGTCAATTTTTCTGGATGTGTTATTAAAACATAAATCACAATTGCAATCCTTGTCAGAAAAATTGCAATGGGATATTTTTTCTAAAATCGTCCATCCCTTTTAAACAATGATGAGCAGTGTAAAAATCAAACAGCAGTGACAACCACACTGAGCATGTGCGGTAAAGACAAGCGGATGGTTTTGGGATAATTAAGACAGCCTGGAGTACCCCCCAGATGGATTGGAACCAGGTTTTGTACTAAATGAGTCCATGAAACTGTGAATATTTGTCAGCTAACTCAAACGTTCAAAACATCCTTCCCCCCCTATCCCCAACAAGCTGTTAGGATATTCCTTTAACACAACTGTGGCCTAATTAAAAAAATGCTGAAAAGCAGAATGTGTTGAGCTAGTTTTTATGGATTACTTTGCAAAGGACATAACGAAGTGCAGTTTTGTTTTAAAAGTGTGTCCAGGGAACAAGGAACAGTCCATTAATATTTCTTTTGTATTGTCTGGTAATGTGAACTGGGGTAAGGATCCCTAACTGTTCTGCCTGTGCCACAAGTGCTTATAGTAAATGTCAAGACCTTTCAGAGGCGCAATAATGACAGAAGAGAGAATAAATGATACATGATACTGTTTTGTGTTTAGGGTGAGACATGAAAAACAAGCTACAGTTGTGAACAGACAAGAATATTGATACTTTGCAGCTGATGTCATCAACAATCCCTGGGGGTGTAATGCTAACTGAAGGTACTATTCTCTCTGAAGCTCTGCGACTCAAGTTTGACTTTAATCTGAGTTTTGTTTTAATACAGTTTTACCTACCGTAACTGAATCTATAACAGGTGAGATGATTTGTGTTCTCTCAGACAAAATTACAGTCATTAGTTAGCAGTTTTTCAGTTGATCACGCTCTTCTTTGCTGAAAATCAAACACTTAAACAGGACCATGAATGAATTGATCACAGGCTCCTGAAAATGTTCTGTTTAAATCAATTTAGTATTTTTTCTTGTGTTTTCAGACTATCTTATAACTTTTTTGTCAGTGTTGGTTAACTTGTGCTTTGTATCACCATGGTAACTGATGAACATTCCACCATAGAGATCCACGTAGAACACCCACAACGTGATGAGTATCAATATAAGTGGATCTGGACTAGAACAGTTCACAGAATTAGTTGTAGCTGCACAGAATGTGTGTTATAGTTCAATTTATGGTAGTCAGGCTTAAACAATGGCTAACCCCAGCTAACTAATTCATATCCATAGATTAGAAGTATTTCTGGGACACCTGCGATAGCGACTCGTTCTCTTTTAGGTTTAGTTAATTCAAAGTGCTGTCAGCATTAGAGTGGATTTTGGACTGCTGCAAGTACAATGATGCCAGATTTAATATGCTCCAAAAATGCAGTGTTGGCAGCCTATTGAAAGAGAGTGCTGATCCACTGCACCAGAATGGAAAACAATAGCAAGAAAAAGCACATTGCTTTACTCTCAAAGTAGAAAAAGCTGTCGAGAGTCGAGGCAGAAACATTATGACCAGAGAACCTTGAAATCTTCCATTGTCGAAAAAGACATTATGTACAAAACTATATACAAAAAACATGACAAAAATAGTATCTTTGTATTCTGTGGTAGTTTCAGTTCATTCTGTCAAAGAAACATAATATGATGGAATCAAATAATCCAAATGTATTACTATTAAAGTGCTTTAGTTGTAGGAATACCCCCAATAATGCACTATATTCATTAATGAACAGTCCAGCTATCGAAGCTTTAAAACTATACATGTTATTTCATTACTCGCATTCAGACCATATAAAAACAAAACAAAAAAACAGTCTAACAATTGGATAAAATGCATGAAGTTAACTTTAATTATACTGTACTTTATAATAAAACAATAATACCCACAACCAGCAGTAATCCCAAAGACTGTACTCTCCATGTAATCTCTGTTCAGACACTGTGAGCAGGTCCTTAATGTAAGCAGAAATGGCAGAAGCATATGTGCATAACTTATGTTCACTCATGCACGGCAGTCCAACTCATTTCAGAGACAAGAGCCTTTGGTAAGGGCTTCAAAACGACCTACAGCCTACGTGCTATCAAAACAAATTAAAAGGCTGCAGGATAATACACATGTGGACCATTCCTCACCTTCAAATGGCTCAAATCATTATTGTAATAGACCCTAACATGCATGGATATGCTAAGAATTAAAGAGAGCAGAGGAGAAATTACCACGTGACGGTGGATGCATCTTGTGGGAGCTACTCCATAATCCACAGCAATGACTAATTGCATGCTCTTGGGTTTGTCAGTATTTGGAAATGCACACATTTTTTAGCCTGCATTGAATTTCAAGAGGCTAAAGAAAATTGCCTTCAGATTGCCAAGGGTCTTGTTGATGGTACAAAATGTCATATTTCTCTGGTTTGAGCGAAGATTTCTACCTCCTTCGCCTGGGAAAAATAAAGACAGGTTTTCAAAAAAAAAAACAATAAAAAAAACATGCAAATCATACAAATGCTGACAGTTTTACAAATAGCAAGCTCCCAGAGCCAGTTTAGGTGGTGAAAAAAGGTCTATGAATGGTTGCCCGCTACAGACACATGACCCATTAATTAAAGTTTAAAGTTCAGAAGTGCAATCATTTATCTTATACCAAACAACATATTTCCTCTTTTCCATTTGTACATTTCCTGCTGGCATTTACCAAGGTGACAACCTGCTTGAGAAAGTGTTGCCTTCCTCAGGGGTTGTGGTGGCGGGGGCAGCTGTTTATTGAGGTGATTCATAGCATAAAGGATAATCTCCCATCCAATAAAGCGTCAGGATCCAGACAAAGCTTGTGTTGCTGATCGCAGCCAACCCAGATTGACACCAGGGAATTAGACGCCCTCTCTTAAAAGACTGTCACAGGGGTAAGTCTATCTGACAGGGTGGCCCCGAAGGCATTGAGGGAATAAAGTAAAAATATCTTCAAGCTGTTGCCGAGGTAATCTTTGATGTAGCTACACCAACTCATCATTGCCATCCTACTGGAAACATGACACATCCTCTTATAGATAGATATTTGCCTTTTTAAACCAGCTTTAAACATCCACATATAAAGGGGGAAAATGCCAGCCAGAGGATCTTAGGACACTTGAGCTCTTCTAAATTCATGTCCACACCCAGAAGTCAGACTCAGCATCCCCAGCATTGAAAAGGGACAGGCTCTGCCCCAGTACCCTTTCCTCCCGTCCAGCCCACAGAACTGGAGACAGACAGACCAAAGTGCATAAGCACCAATGTATCACATTATCTACAAGAATATACTGCCATATGATAGTGTACCATGTGACCATGCAGTAATATAAGTAAATTTCATTTTTTCCAAACTCATTATTAAGTCTAAACCACGCCCGTGGCATTAAACGTTACGAGGGCATCTGGCGTCGTAAGTTACGTTACGTGATGAAAAGAGACAAGGGAGAGACGATAGAGCGTCAGAGCCACAACTTAATTGTTGAGATGAAAACGCACGCAGAGCTCACATGTACAGCAGCAGGCTGCCTCTCTCTTCACTCTCGCCTCGTTTTGAAACTGCGACATCACAGTGAACATCCTCACTGGTAAACGCGTTTGACAAGCACTTCAACACACACGTGTGCCAAATGTCATCGGCTAAACCAAAAGACACGAACAAACATCAGTTTAGCTAGGTTAATGTCATGTGAGGCGTCGATGTATGGTGATGTATACACGGTCATTTTAAGTTCAACTCGTAAATACTGAAGCTCGCTGTGCGATATCGTTGTAAAGACACAGAGTTGCACGTGTGGCACAGTTTGATCTGTTAGCACGAGAGGAAAGTGTTTCGATAAAACTTTATTGTTAGCAGCAGCCTACCAAGCTAGTCACTGAGCCACCGCGTCCTGCGTATGGCTGCGCTGCACCGGCCGTGCGCCCCCCTGTCAGGCGAAAACCTGCACGGGATGGACAGAAACAAACCACTATTGTCTCTGTGTTCCGACTGTTCTAGTGTTAACAACCATTGCACGATAACTTTATTTGGCTCGAAGATGCTAGGCTGACTTAAAGGGATGCTAAAAGTGCTTTCGCGGGAAAAAGTCGCGGGAAAAGTGAAGTTAGCGTGTTCTTTACCTCAGCAAAGCCGTGTCGCCTTGTCTGCTGACCACACTTTCCACCGATGAGTAGTCCACAGTTTGTCCAGCGGGCAAACAGGACGGCAGAAAGCAGCACAGGCTCAGGATGATCGCAGTAAGCCACTGACCAGACACACAAGCATCCTGCACCGCAATCATTATGTCCATCACAGCTGTATAGTGTTGTCGCCTTTCCCACGTCTTCTTCAGAAACAGCGGTGAAGGTTACAAAAAGAGGTTTTATTCCCACACTTTATGTCCTCCGAGAAGAAGAAACGCTCCGATCGCGTACTTTCCCAGGTTTGTTTTGCTGGATGTTACAGAGCCCACGGTGCGGGTGAAGTGTAGTCTACTCTCCAGTGGCTCGCACACCATCTAGTGAGGAAATGCGATGTAAAATGGGAGCAGACCTAGAAGCAGACAACCCCCAGGCTCTGATCCTGTTGCCATGCGGCCGTTTCCCGGGCAACCCGTTCCCAGTGGCTCGTGATGAAGCGGTGAAACCTGTACGTATTGATACGAGCCAGGAGCAATTATAGATATCGACTGAAGAACCACCCCTATTTATGCCCTATAAGCAAATGAACATACCGAGCGACTGTGCTAACCGAGCTCAGAGGTGATGACGCACATGAGTCCCATAGGAAAACTTTCAAATATCCCAAACTTGACTCTTTTAAATTGATAGGCTTTGATAAGGCTCTATTGGTATAAAGTTTGGCTTGTACTCTGCAGTGTAAAACTTTTTTTGTCAAACCTAAGAACAAGTTTAGAATACCTTGACCAAAGTCTTTTGCAAGTAGTTTTATTTTGACACTTGACATTCGTATATTATAATTTTCACTGCATTTCAAGACAGTCCTAGGCTATTGTTATTTCACAAAAGGCATATAGTCAAACCGTTCTGAAACCCAACTCCATTTAAATGTGTGGGAAATGCAGAGGCAGTTGAGTAATCGAAGGCAACTTTTATTATATAATATTCAAACAAAGGGAGCCTTTAAGAACTGACTGCCCTGCATCATGGCAGGCTTAAGACTTAGCCTACATAATACTTAACAGGCTGCACAGCGGTTGCCATGGATATGACACATTTATCAGAGATTACATATGTTGACATAGTGTCATTGAATCTGTGTGGATGTATTAATTGGATGCACTTATTTTTTGTAGACAGTAATAAAAAAAATAGGACTTTAAAGTACACATATTTGTAGCCCAGCTTTGAAAAAAACACTTGGAACATATGAACAGAGTATTGCTATTTTAGGTAAGCTAAATCTCCAACGCTCAATTCCCTCAGAGTTCTTGTACTTTTTTTTTTTATTAAATCAATATAGTGTCACTATATCATATCTTCAAATCTTATCTTGCAGGCCAGAGGGGGATTGAAGCCTTTGCTGTTATCAAGCTGCATGTCTGGACCTTCTATTGAAATTTAATGAGGTGAGTGCATGAGCTCCTATGTGTGCCTTAGATGATTTTTTTTTAGTTTTTTTTTTTAGCTCAAACTTTATTTCATTTCCCGGGCCCCTGAAAATTGGAAAAAAGGATAGCCTCTAGAATTTTTTTACTGCGCTTTCATGAGAGTTGAAAGTATTCCCTGGTTATTATTTATTTGGGAAGATAAACAGTTTATTCCAGTGTTATGAGAGTATATGAGTTTTGGACACAGTTCTGTTTGAGTTTTGAAAGAGGCGCATAAATGTCATTTTTTTGGAGGTTAGGGAGGACATTTCACCGTGCTGGAAATGAGTCAACAACCAATGCTCCATGACAAGCGCTGCTAAAAGGGAGGGAGTGAGGGCTGTCTCGACATGGACACGGCTGTAATTTGCATAACCAAAGCTCCCTCTACTGTTAATAACTGTGATAATACCTGCGTCAGTACAAACTCAGCCATTGTGACAGGGGTGTTTTGGGTTGAGACACTATTGATATATTTTCACATTTGCTTTTCCACCTGATTTTTTTTCTTCTTCTTCTCTCGTTTTATTTCTCTGATCCTTTCAAATTACCTTAGAAAATGTACCTCGCCATGCATGAAAGCCATAATTACAATGAGTCCATTTAGCGTCGTGCACAGGGGAAGAAGAGTGGCAGCCTTTAATATTCAACTCATAATAACCTTCAGGAATTATGAACAAGATGAAAGAGATCAGGGACCAGGCTATCATAACGACAGACTGTTTTGAGTAATAGATGCATCAGATTTATGTTTTGTGTTTTATGTTTAGAGCTTTTTTTTCAAATCTATGTATGTAACATTGGAACATAAATGAAATGATACAAGGATGGAAAATATTGTATTACAAGGTCTTGTACATTAGCATACGCACTTGAAAAGGTCTGAATCATAAACACATTCTCGTCACCTTTTCTGCCTCGCTGCTTGTTGTTGTGACAATATTGTGTCCTATTATATTATAGAAAAAAGGTTTGTTAGTCGATTAATCACCGAATCCCAGATGTAGGTGTATAAAGAAGGTGACTACAGCAGTGCTTTGCGGAACAGGAGCTACAGTATACAGGACAGACCTGAAGTTAATTGATGTTTTCACAGTGTCCTTTGCCAACAGCTCATTGTCCAGACATGTACGAGTGGAGTGTTTTGTAGTGTTTTTTACTGAAATATAATATTATATCCAGTAGAGTAGCAGTGGGAAAAACTAACATTCTTTACTTTTTATATAATGGTGTACACATATATTTAGAGTAAGTGCTAGAAATATGTTAATTCTTTAAAAGATTGTTCATTATTATCTATTTCTCATTTGAAGGACCATGAAGAAATGTGGAAAGGATGAACTTAAGGACCAGAAGAGGACAAAGATGTATGCAGTATAAAAAGAAAGTCTGGAACAGAAGGTGGGAATATTGAAGTTAATTTCCCTGTGAGGTTGTAGGCACCGAATGACACCATTTCAGCCACTGTAAAATTCAGCAGAGAAAAAGTCCCTCTCTGTTTTCTGCAAAATACTAAACAACCCAAATGCCCTTCCATTGCCCTCAGTTCTTCACATAAGAAATCCCATTATGTTACTTTTCTCGAACTGCCACTTTGTCTGAGGAACTAGTAATGTATTACATTTCTCAAACAGGACCCTGCTGTCAAAGTCCAAATGCACATTTATAACACAGATGTAGTGGACAAAACACATTTGAAATGGAGTATAGAGTTTGATATATGTAGCCCTCCAGCTGTGATTTATTTCAGGTGCCTTTCGTCTGTACTGGCCGTGTGAGACCAAACCTCCATGAGTCATAACTGATCTCTATATTCAAGACTACACCTTCTGCACGCCATATGAAAGACTACTTCAAAAACTCTCTCTGTTATCAGTTGGAGAAAGAGACTGGTCCTTCTGGAAAGTACACATAGCTGTAATTAAAATTCACCTTGCCAAAACATGTTGAGAGCATGCTGTAGGACGATGGTACCATTTCTGTTTATGTGGCATTTGCTGTGTCTGCCAAAGGGAGGAGCAGTTCTAATAGTATATAGTATAGGTGGTAGCAAGTACAGTGGTACATGTAAACTGTGCTTCAGGCTACACAATAACAAGACTGTTAGTGACAAAACTGTAAAAGTCAAACCTGCTGATGGCTGATTAAAAAGACGATGAAAACTAGTTGTTGTTGATGGATAAATATTGAATTTGTTTATTCATATAATTTTTATTCATAGCTTGAATGCGCAACCTCTTTTTAATTTGTGTTAAATATAATCTGCACGGCATGGCCAAAAGGGAGGTTCATATATAGCTTTTCTTATTGGGTTTAATTGCTTCAGTTCCTTCACACACAATAGAAAGTGTCTCATTTCCAGCAGCATTTATCAAAAAACCTGAGTTTGTGTGAGTGAAAGTCTGATGCAGATTTTTGGATTCGAACTGATTTATGTTGGTGTCAAATTCCAGCCCCTGGCAAGCTACAGCCCTGTTTATTTACTTGAGTGTTACACCCACTCTCAACCCACCAAAACTTTGTAGTAGAGGCATGCTGCAACTGTTGTGCTTGAAGTTTTATAGTATTATGAATGATTCACCATATTATCTTTATTTTATGAATGTTTTTATTTCACATAGTGTAAGTACAGCAAAAACATTAGGGAAAAGGGAGAAAAGTTCAAAGTGCTTTTTGGTGTTGTTGTGCAGTTTATTTATAAAATGTCAGAGTGAACTTTTGGGATGTAGTGAGCCTCTCCCTCTCACTTGCATGTTTTTAACTTAAGTGCCTGCAGAACTTTCACACAACTCTCCACTCCCTTTTAGTCTCTCCTGCTAACATCCTCACAATGCATCTTTGATTTTTTTTCTTCATGACTGATATGAGGTCTTTGTACGTGCTGGAAAGCTTGTAGTCACATGCAAATGGCAGAAGTCAATGATGGTTTCTTGACTTAAGTAGTTCTTTGACATTGACGTTGCCACCAGAGTGCAAAAGCTAGTTTCAAGTAAAAATTATACAAAAAAAAAATAAAAAAAATAGAGAATGATTAAATCCAGATGCTCAGACTATTCTCTATAATTATCTGAAATAAAATTATGCGTCATACTATACAAAACACAACATTAGCTTGAATTATCCTCACAACAATTGTAGTTTTTAAAAAGTGGAACTATAGAAAATGTTCATTTTCCAATTTCTTCATTATTTTAGTCTCAGCTGTTTGTTTTTTCTTGTGCTTTCTGTAGCCGTTGGTGCAAACAACACATTTGAGTGTTGCTGCTGGCGGCTCAAGTAGTGGATTCCTTTAGCAGAACTTGTTGAGCCTGGAGGCAGTGTTAATATTGCACACAGCAACCTAAAAGCACTTTCGTAGAATATCTCTTTTATCCAAAATGTTTTTCTGTCTTTACTGCTACCTGCAGAGTGTTCTTCTCTTCATAGTTCAGATTTAGGTGAGTGACGTGAAGCAAACACAACGCCATGTTTATTGATCACATGAGAAAAAGGAGTAGAATTCATATAGAAGAATGCATGCATATATCTATATCTAACCTTTTGGAGAGAGATGCTGCTCCACATTGCTTAAAGGGCCTGTACTTGTTTTGTTTTTGTTGTTTTTTTCTTTCATTTATTTGAGAAATACTTGTCTTCCCACAGTGCAGGTGTGGGAACTGTGGTGTACTGTTTGCATCTAATTTATATAGTGTTTTATTGTCAAAGAATCAGGAAGTATGCAATTTGCATAGTAGTTGTTGTTTGCATTACCGTGATGGCATATTCTGCTCTAACCTCTGGAAGTTGTGTAAAATGTTTATTAATTCATCACAGTGAAGAATTAGGATACTTGGAATGCATAAAGTAAGTGAGGAATTTTAATGTTTCAAGTAAAA